CAATCGATCAAGTTGCAAAAGGATGGACTCGAACTATTATGCCCAGTGTCCAGGATTTTTGGGATAGAACTTGCAGTTATATGAATTTGACTAAATGGATCAGTGGATCAATTGGCTTTAGGGACCTGAGAAAAGAAGAGTACTGACTCGCAGTCGAAGACAATCGAATTGAATACTACTACCCCTCTCCCTACGTCCTGTGATTATTGTCAAGTTTAATTTTTTATTTTTAATTCAGTTTATGCTAAACATCACCCAAAGATCCAAATTGAACAATGATTTCAGAACAGATGTAGGACTTAATTGGTGTCTTTCATCCCACAGTCAGCTAACTCTTGTCTATTTATCATTCTGACTTCAAATAGAATGGGGGAAATAATACGGATGTAGCAACCTCTGGAAAGTCCATAAAAAAAAAGAAAAGAAAAAGTAGAACACAATCCCTACACCCAGCAAGAGGATTCACACATAAACATCAAAGCCATTATTTAAGCTGCTACCTCAGCTTAATTAGCAATTGGGTCCTTTGGTGATTCTGACTCCAATATTAGTGATCGCAACTTGAATCAGACCTGTGAGCCTCTGACCTCTATTATCTCTTTTCTAATCTCCCAAAAAACTAAACCGCTTTAGTCCGTTAAGCACCTCGAGATATATATATATATATATATATATATATATATATATACATATATATTATATTAGAAACAAAAACCAAACACCTAAGAGAAAGCACCACCATTTGCCATGTGGTATTTCCACATCATATTTTTAAAATAAATTTTTATTTACACATTTCCTAGACTTAAAAGTCAAATGCAGTCCAAATCCACCTCCCTCCTATTTTTGCCAAAAAAAAAAAAAAACTACGGGTTCATAAAAACCAAATCCTCATCTCCATCCCCATGACAATCAACTCCCTAATCATTCCCTTCTCCTCAATAAAAAAAAAAAAAAAAATTCTCATCAATCATCAATTGAGAATATGTGCTGAAATATACTCCTTTCCTATTAGCATGTTCAATCTTTTCATTAGTAATGATCAACTACATCCTAATCGGATAAAATTTCATACAACTTCAAAAAATATTCTCTTTACCTCTCTATATAAACACAAAGGAAAAAAAAATTCTCATTGATCTTGCTTCGGCCGTTTTGGTGGTGCCATTATAGGTATTAAAATTTAAATGATTTAATTTTCACAGATCATTTGTTTGTCTTTTATTATTTTTTATTTTTCCCGTTCAAGATAGTGTTATTACTATTATTTTTATGCGTCCATCCGTTACAGCTACCGTAGCCGTTGTCAAGTAATATGATGTAATTTCTTATATGGTTAGTTAGCCTAGAATTTTTGTATGAATTTAGTTCTGTTTGGATTAAATTCATTAATTGGGTTTTTGTTACAAAGTGTTGTTTTTTAAATTTCTTTTTTTACGTTTCATTCAATTAGAGTGGTTTTCTTTTTTTAGTTATGGAGTCTCAGTTTGTTTTCTTATATGGTCAGTTATGAAGTGTGTTTTTTCTTTGTCTAATTGCTTTTGATTTTGTTTCATACTCACAGTTGACCAATTATTATTAATATTATTTTATTTTATTTGCAAATGAAGCGCGTTTTTTTTTCTGTGTTCGGACTTTTAATAATATACTTTTTTGGATTTAGTTTTTGGACTTTTTTTAGTTCCTCATCATATAAATAGTTCCGGTCACTACTTCTAACTAATTTATGGGAAAGCCTTTTATGAATTTGAAGTGGAGAGGGAAGGAATGATGTTTATACGTTTATTTGTGTTTTTATACATCATTTTTACGTACAGAAAAAAATAAAATTTTCAATTTTTAATGGACTATCTTTTACTTTTTTTTTATTTGCCATGGTGAGGTGAGTTCTTTTTTGCTATAACTTGAAACCTATGCAAATTTATATTATTTTCATTCTCATATTTATGATCAACCAGTTTCAACAATTAACCAGTTTCAAAATCATATTTTTGATATTTTACTACCTATAAACTTTTGGAAGAAATAGTTCCAATAATTAAACGTATACCTTTTGGAGGAATCTTACTACAAAACTATTATAAATCTCCAAAACTAAGTATTGATTTGGCACAACCAATGAAGAACATCAATAAATTATCTTACTAATATTTAAACTTATTAGAATGCTTTTATATTTTGTCTAGCATTTACTTCAAGACATATATTTGATCAAGTTTATTTATATTTAAGAAGTAACACTTATAAAATATTTCTAAAATCTTCAAACATTTCTAAAACGTACTGGGCCAAATATAATTTCTTTTTATGCCAAATACAAACATTTCTGTGATCACACTTATAAAATATTTCTAAAATATATCGGGCTAAATACAAAATATTTTTTTTCAGATATAAACATTTCTAAAATCTACAGATATATTGGGCCAGGGTCGCGCATTGCGTGACCAGACATCACTAGTATATATATATAAGGAGTGACTACAGTCCGGTCGACTATATAGTCCAGTCGTATTTAATAACCGTTGGATCATTAAAATTAATATTAACCATTAGATTATAATGAGGTATTCTAAAGCCAAAATACACCTAACCACACCTGATAATTTAATTACAACTAAAACCTATGCAACCCATTGCATTACCTAAAGCGAAAAAACAAATTATTTGATTAAAAAAAATTCTTTGCTCGTTCGTGCTCTCTTAATCTTAAAGCGTTTATCACATTAAAAACGCTGTTCAATATATCAGTCAAAGCCAATAAATGAGCAGAATGGCCATCTACAGCTTTAGCATGTTTTATTTTTTAGTTCAACGAATGCTCGAGTTGTCACCATGGCTGAGTCGAGAGCATAAAGGTCGAGAGGTCACCAATGAACAGCAGCGGCACGCTGTAATTGCTAATGATGTTGCTGCCTGCTAATGATTTCGTAAATCCAACCGCCGCCGCCACATACCGCCACATATACATATTTAGTAAAGTTTTGAATTGCTGTAGATTTGACAGAGTCAAAGGCGAGCAAATCGCTTTGCCTTTTCAAAAAACCAAGTTGGCCTTCACAGCAAATTGTTTTGTTTTCTCAATCAAAGGACTTGATAATATATATGCCGTGGACAATATAATTGGGAACTTAAGTGTTGCTACTGCTTCTAGTGTTCTTCTTACTGAGGGGATTGGATTGGTTTTTTTTTTTTAATGTTTATTCTTGTATGATCACCTTCTTTCTAATTTGTTGTTTCCTTTTTCTTTCTTTGATGATGATAATAGTTATTAATGATCACCCACAACTTAATCATCAAAAAATTATGTTCTTGGGCCTAAGAACCTAATTTCGACGGCAGAAGGGTTTTTCCAAAGGAAGATTTTTGTTTCGGAATCAGAAAAGTTTCAGAGAAAAAAAAAATTGATATGAATTAGCAAGTCAACCATGAATGTGGTTTTGCTAAGATGTTGTACACCCCATAATTAAATTTGATGTGTCAAATTTTTATTGAATAGCCTTAAACTGGATGGTTCAGTAAAAAACTTATGACAAGATCATATAATTTTTCATATATATATATAGACACACACACATACACACACAACTCGAAGTCAGATTGAATAAAATCAGCTGCATCGATCGGGGAAAGAAAAAAAACAAACAAAAAAGAAGAAACTTCGTCAATTTACATAACCAGCAAGACACACTTGTCTGGCAAGGAAGGACATGCGCCTCTTGCACCTGAAGTTCACAGGCAACTCAAGCTGGTTCCTAAGAAGGGAATAAAGGACAAAGGCACTCTGTATCCAACAGCAAATTAACAAGGGCGTAACTCCGGGGCAACTAAGAGCAATCGTATGAAGACAGAAAACACATGTATGAGGGTGAGATAAAACCCATGCCCTAGCAGCCATGCCGGTTTACAGACTGGAAGGCACCCATCAAAACTCAAACCTGGTAAGTTGTTGATCAAAAGTCGGAGTCGGACATCCTTAGCCCGTCAGAAGCAGGGAGCTGCTGAGCAAAACTGCAGCGAAACAAGGACAATTCTGTAATAGCTTGCTGTACAAAGTGAAGTGATGGTAGCTGTTACATTAGTGTCATAAACAGCTGAGCATCCATCTTTTCAAATCTCCCATCCATCTTTTCAAATCTCCCACAGTAGCATCAAAGATAAACAACTAAAAAGAGGGTCTCCAACAGGAAAGTTAAACCAAACGGGGAAGCACACTAAATTGCCTCTGGTTGAATTGGAAATCACTTAGTTGGTGTCCTTGTCCCACATTCATCAGCTAAACTCTTTTCTGACTTCAAAATAAATAAATGGGGAAATACATGAAAGCCATGCCTCTGGAAAGTCTGCAAGAAGTAGAACACAACCCCAACAAAATTCACATCTACACATCAGTCTTATTTAGGCTGCTATCTCTCTGCTTAGCTATTGGGTCCTTTGGGATTCCGACTAATATAGTTGTTGTAACTGGAATCAGACCTCAGAGTTTCTGACCTCAATTATCTCTTCCATAATCAGCGAATGACTAAATCGCTTGAGTCCGTAAAGTGCCTCGATTTGGGTCATACCCAAGAGAACTTTCCAAAAAAAAGGATATGGTCTTAAGATGATATCAATATAGATTGAAACTAGCGTAAACAACGAATTACTACCAAGGCTCCGATCACCGAAATGGTCAACCCACGAACCATCTTAACAATTGACAATCAGTATCAAAATACAGAACATATCAAGTGTTTGTCGACACTGTAAATACAGAAGCCCAACAACCGTAACGCATCCAAACTCATAAAATCTTTAATTTAATTCACCTTGACTTCACTCTAAATTAAGATGCAACCCAGAAACAATTAGAAGTCATTTTATGGCTCAATTGGCAACCTCTGAAAAATCAAATACCTATATGGCCTTCTCTCATACAGCAAGCTCATTTACTAGTAGCATTTGGTTCCCATCTCAAATGAATGGCCCCTTAAATATCACATCATCATAAACCGGCATACTCAAACAAAAGATAATGTGAGTTCAAAATTTGGAGAGTCATCACTGGAGTCACTGCGTAGATCAACTTCAACACTTTTAGTCACTATAGCTGGATTTAGAATATACAATAGCATTGGAGTCTCATCCTTGAGGCCTGTGCGTCCCTTATATACAACTCGTGTGAGGCTGGATAATGAGCATCTAGGAAGGGTATCAAAAACTTTCCCCTCCCTCAAAATTCTGATAAATATTTGATCCCTCCAACGTCTTCCATGGATTCGATCATCACCATAAGGAAAATCACATGGCAAGTGGATAATCTCGAGGGTTTCTAACGCAGGGCAGCAATTTATAAGGTCAATCAGGCAGTCCCATGAAATGGAATAATCTAACTTGACAACCAGTTTGGTTAATCCCTCAAAACTTGTAGACCACAAACTTGTTCTTGACAATTTGCAACAGGTGGCACCGCCAAGAACTTCCACGGTTCTCTCTGATAATGTAAGAATCTTGACATGGTTCAAACCCTGGATCAACTGAACAATTGAATTATGATAATTTCTATCCAATAGGTGACCAAACCAGCGAATATCAAGATCCGCTTCCTTTATAGACCCTCCATGTATTGAAATTTCTGCCGACACTCGATCAGTTAAAACCAGCTTTTCAAGTGTAGGAGCATCAATTTCCAGCTTGTAGCGTTTTTGGAGGCCAAGTGCAGAGATGAAACCGGCAGCATCACCATCATCACGGAGATAGATCTCAAGACGTTTCAATGAAGGCGAAGAAATTGACCAATTTATCTCAGGCGAAGAAGTAAACCAGTGTTTTCTTTCAAATTTGAACGATTCGAGCACAGGGCAGCCACGAAGAAGCTTACAGAGAGACTTTTCTTCGTACTTACAGTGAACCAAAATCAGTTCTAAATGAACAAGTCTAGGAAGACAAACCTCGACCTCGGATGGAACTTTAATGATAAAAGGCCCTGTTAGTTTTAAAATTTCTAGTGTCTTACAAGTAAAAAGTTCACCAGGTAAGTCAGTTCCATCTGTAAAAGCAGGGCATCTTTTCTCTTGGCTTAACACACTCACATCAACAAACCGAACTTTTTGACAAACAGCAGAGCTGAGCCATGCTGTAATCCGATGGAACCCATAATATAAATTCGCCAAATGGTGTGGAAATTCTAAATTCTCACAATTGAGATGGAACCTGTGGATCGTCCGCGGTTCTGAAAACATAAACATGTTATTAACAAAATCCACAAAATCCCGACAGTCAGACCACCACTGGTTTTCAATGTCAAAGCTGGTGACTTGAGTCCATCGAAGTCTCCAACTTTTGGACAACAAACTTGTTGCTACAGCAGATTTTATGGGAAGCAAGGAAAGAATATCGCAAATAATTTCATCAGGTAAAGTGCTAAGCCGATCCACTGCACTAACATCATCGCTGCCATCACAACACTTCTGCCGCTTCAGGTGACTCTCTTCATCCGCTAAATACATCATGATTTCCAGAAGGTTTTGTTGTTGCTGTTGGACCAAATATAGCTCTTAATCACTAATTTGTTTTGGACCAAAACTGCTGAACAAAAGCCTCTATGACTAATCTACTCCAAAAAAAGTGCTTTTTATTTAATTACAGCAGTCAATGGTTTATTTGCAAACCAGAAAGCACGCGACGAATTCTCAAACCACAAAACCAAATAAAACCTTTGTATATCAAAAACCCCAAAAACTAACAATCTTATATCGCTCTATTTATAAACAGATCTATGAACCCTTTTATAACTCGGAAGTGGATAAAAAATTCGAATACAAATCTAAAACAGACTACCAATTCAATCATCAATCACACTTGGAAACTTCCAAAAAAGATTATTTACCGCATGCCGGCGAGTCCAACCGAATAACCTTAGTCGATCGTATCGCAAATGTCCCTCTCCTCGAGGACAAAAGACCAGTGGAATATCGTGAATCTTACGTTGGAAATGCGAAAATTACCTAGGCTCCGGGGATGGAAAAATTGGCGTTTCTACCAAAAATTTCGTCCTCGTCGTCAAATATACCCAAAAAATTTTTGCCAATTTTTTTTGCCAATTTCCTCCAATTGGCCATTCTCTATGCCAATTTTTTTTGATAAAATAATAATTTAATCACAAAAATACCTCAATAATTTTAGAAAATTATAAAGGTAACACTTCAAATATAAAAAAATAATATAATAATTTTTTTTACTTTTTACTTTTTGTCCCTCTATTTATTCGATTTCTTTTTTACCACTTCATAAGTATATAGATCACAAATAATCAAAGAAAATGTAACATATTTTCTTTCATCAACAAAATCAAATCTGTTGATAGTCAATGTGTATCTTTTTATGAAACTTGATTGAAGGTGTTGGCGTTTATGGTAGCTTGTTTAAGGCTATTAGGGAATTTATGAAACTTGATTGAAAAGTGGTGCTTCAACATAAGTTTAGAGAAGCCAAGTTTGTGGCCGATTTCTTGGCTTCTCTAGCGGCTAGGGAAATTTGTGGTTTGTTATTGTATTATCCTCACATGGAGTAATTCTTTGGTTGGGACATGACAATGTCGGTGTTTCATAACAAAGAAGTGTTCTAGTGTTATAATCTAGACTTTTGCCTATTACATTATACCAAAAAATAAAATAAAAAAAATCAAAATTACTCTCCCTATCCCAGAAAAATAGTTCAGTTTTAAAAGTTATAACTTTTTAAATTTGGTCAATCCTAACAAAGTACAACTCATTTTAACTGTGAGCTTTCTATTTTACCCTGATTGAAAATTTAATTAGCAAAGTTAATCCCCTATTTTACTTCTTCGGTTTCTCTTCCCTATCAATCTCGCAATGCTGACACTAATGATAGCAATTATCAAACCCTAAACCAGCATTCAACAAGCACGGTTGACTAAAAAAGAATGCAAACAAACTTCACGGCTTAACTTTTTATTAGGATTTAGGAGGCATCAACAAATTCACAGAATATCTACAAATTACCAACTTTATAACAAGACTAAGGTAAATAGATGGCTGGAATTGATACTCATCTCTTAAAGCAGCAACAACTGACGAATTACTCAAGGATCAACCAATATAATTTAGAAATGATTCAACTCTTCACTTTTTCCCTACCTCTAAGCATCAACACATCTTTCTAAGCTTTAATAACAAATGAAAAGCCGTAGGGGTGTCAATTTCTGACACGGCAACATGATTTACAGAGACAACCCGACACGACATGACATGATTGACACGATTTGAGTTTTTATCAATTTTTTTACTCTTAAAAATTTTATCAATCATGTGGAATACATAACACGAAATTAACCAGATAACTCGAATCGACATCCCCACAAAAAGGTCGAATTTGGATTATTTCTTAGCACCTTCTTTTGTATCTCATTGGGAGGAGGAAGAATAGGTCCGTCGGAGCCGAAAACCCCGTCCGAATCAATCCCAAGGTCATAAGGCTTGCCACTCCCATTAGAAATGGGAACTGATGGAGCTTAAAAAGCGCAGCATGAGAGTATCCCTTGTTCTGATCCTGATTCGAACCAAATTCCAACAAATCAAGACTGTGAACAGAATGGGAAACGTGCCCCATGGTTACTTCCTCTTCTCCAAAGCTACCGGTTGGAATGAATATTTTGCAATTGTAGCTTCGACATCATAGCCGTTAGGAGAAAGTTGGTGCCGGCTGAATTTGTTTATGAGTGAGGGCAGTTAAGTCATTTTATCTATTTTTTTACTTTTTTGAAACTGGATTATTTTTTTGGGACAATATTTTTTCATCAAACTCTATTATTTTCTTTTTGGCCGGGGGAGTAACTTTTTAAAATTTATTGTGTGATTTTTTCGAAAAAATATATATCGTCCGTCTCGAACTTATTGTCCAATTTGAATTTTTATTTATAATACAAATCCTATATATCTTAGTATATGAGAAACAAAAACCACATTTAAGAGAAAGCACTACCATTTGCCATGTGGCATTTCCACATCATATTTTTAAAATAAATTTTTATTTCCACATCTCCTAGACTTAAAAGAGAAATGGAGTCCAAATTCACCTCCATATCCTATTTTCTCCAAAAAAAAAAAACCACGGGTTCATAAAAAATCTAAATCTTCATCCCCATCTCCACGACAATCGACTCCTTAATTAATCCCTTCTCCACAATTAAAAAATAAATAAATTCCTCATCAATCATTAATTGAGAATATGTGGTGAAATATACTCTTTTCCTATTAGCATGTTCAATATTTTCATTAGTAATGATCAACTACATCCTAATCGGATAAAATTTCAACTTCAAAAAATATTCTCTTTAGTTCTCTATATAAACACAAAGGAAAAAAAAATTCTCATTGATCTTGCTTCGGCCGTTGTGATGGTGGCATTACAGGTATTAAAATTTAAATGATTTATTTCCACAGATCATTGGTTTGGCTTTTATTATTTTTTATTTTTCCCGTTCAGGAATAGTGTTATTACTATTATTTTTATGCGTCCATCCGTTACAGCTACCGTAGCCGTTGTCATGTAATATAATGTGATTTCTTATTTGGTTAGTTAGCCTAGAATTTTTGTATGATTTTAATTATGTTTGGATTGAATTGATGAATTAGGTTTTTATTATAAAGTGTGATTTTTAAAATTTTTTTTTTATGTTTCACTCAATTAGAGTGGTTTTCTTTTTTTTAATTATGGAGTCTCAGATTTTTTTTTCGTATATGGCCAGTTATGAAGTGTGTTTTTTCTTTGTTTAATTGTTTTTGATTTTGTTTCATACTCCCAATTGACCAATTGTAATTATTATTATTATTTTTTATTATTATTATTATTTTATTTACAAATGAAGCGCGTTTTTTTTGTGTTCGGGATTTCAAGAATATACTTTTTTGGGTTTGGTTTTTGATTTTTTTTTTAATTTTCTCATCATATAAATAATTCAGGTTACTTCTTCTAACTAATTTATGGGGAAGTCTTTTATGAATTTGAGGTGGAGAGCGAAGGAATGATGTTTCTACGTTTATTTTTGTTTTTATACATCATTTATACCTACAGAAAAAAATCTCAAATTTTAATGGGCTATCTTTTACTTTTTTTTTATTTGTATGGTGAGATGAGTTCTTTTTTGCTATATCTTGAAACCTATGCAAATTTACATTATTTTCATTCTCATATTTGTAATCAATCAGTTTCAACAATTAACCAGTTTCAAAATCATATTTGTGATATTTTACTACCTATAAACTTTTGGAAGAAATAGTTCCAATAATTAAGCGTATACCCGTTGGAGGAAGCTAACTACAAAGCTGTTATAAATCTCCAAAACTAAGTATAGATTTGGCACAACCAATGGAAAACATCAATAAATTATCTTATTAATATTTAAAATTATTAGGATGTTTTTATATTTTGTCTAGCATTTACTTCAAGACATATATTTGATCAAGTTTATATATTTGATCAAGTTTATTTATATTTAAGAAGTAACACTTATAAAATATTTATAAAATCTTCAAATATTTTTAAAATGTACCGGGCCAAATACAATTTATTTTTATGCCAAATACAAACATCACACTTATAAAACATTTCTAAATTCTTCAAATATTTCTAAAATATATCGGGCCAAATACAAAATATATTTTTTTTCAGATACAAACATTTCTAAGATCTACAGATATAATGGGCCAGGGTCGCGCATTGCGCGATTAGACATCACTAGTATATATATATATATATATATATATATATATATATATATATATATATGATGTGTCTGTCAATTGCCCTCAAATTGATTTCATTACGCATTTTATTTAATGATTGGTTATTCATCAAACAGTTATAATATATTAGTAAAACCGTTATTTTATAAATTACCATGAATTATATTTTAAATTAGGTAATTTCCTTTTTTTTAAAGTGAATTATACTCTATCTTCGCCGCACTTGGTGCAAATTGGACATTTTTGGTACCCAGCACCGAGAAACCGTAATGAGCTAGAAATTGAATGGCTCCAGATATATGGAAACGGTGTCGGCCGTCTTCGACAAAACAAGCTACTTTTCCCAGAATGAGTACAGAGCAAATAGCCCAACTCTATCCACAGAAATGGCAAGAGTCGTTCGTGTTTCCACTCGACGTCTTTGGGACTGGCGGTGGAGGTCAAGGCGTGAGAGTATTAGGTGGCACATTTGTTGCGTCTTTCTTTTCTACACCATCCTCCTCCTTGGCAGTTGAATGCCCCCAACAACTCCAGTATACTGATTCATCCATCATCATCTAACAAATTAAAGCATCAATTACAGACAAATTCCATACAAAATTGAACCAATTGGGTTGCCAACACTGCAATTACATCTAACAGCGCCTAGCATTGATGTCAAATATGGCAGATCTAAGACATTGAAATCAATTTTGTAAAGCACTGTAGGACACTTCCCTTTATTTTTTCCTGGCGTCTCACTACCATCGAAGAAGTATTGAACCATTGTATTTGATTAAGATAGAGGTCAGAGACTAAGTTTTCGGGTAGAGGGAAAAATTAATGATAATTGTTATGGTAATGGAGATGACTCTTCAACCAATGTTGTTTGCCCGGATAGAGGAGAAAGAAAGATGTCGTTGGGATTGTGGTGTGATGGGGGAGGTTAGCCGCCGACGGAGGGAGAGGGAATAGA